TATTCTGAGGAGGTAGACCTTGAAGCTCAGGCTTTAAAACTTACTGCAGCGTGTTTGTTTACGATTTTTCAACCTATATTGAGATGATTTCCTGAAGTTACTTCTCAAAAGTGGAATTCCAGTGTACAAGCTGTTTGCCGTGACTCTTCTTAGAGATTGAAGCATTCTGGATTATCACCGATACAAGTGTGCCTCCATCTCTGCATCCCCGCTTCCCACCGCCGTGGACTTAATTTTTCCCTTCCTGGTTTATCTGGACACCTCCAGTTCTTCTTGGCTTTCTTATGAGGATGCAGTGGTCCATCATCTACCTTTCCTAGCTGGCGGGCCCCCTTCCCTGCCCTGGCAACCTCTCCTGGCTGTCCTTACAGATCATTTAACATACTTTTTCCTAAATTCAGAGTGGAAGCTGCAGATTAAATTACATTAGCATTTTGGCAAGAGCCCAGTGCTTGGGAATTATTACATGAAATGGAGTGTGAGACTGACGCCTTCAGTGTGCAGTGTCTCCAAGGAGAGCCCTCAATGCTTCCAGTACTGTTCCAGACAGGAAGAGTGGAGGCTTGGGGTCATAGATGGCAGTGGCCCAAGGCAGCCTGCCAGTTGATCAATTGGAAGCAGAAGGAACCTGCTGAGTATGGTGGGCACTTGGCCTCCTGTGTGGTGAGAGGAGAGAGAGGTGTGTATCTTGGCATCATGTCATTGTTCCTACCGCCTTCTTGGGTGAGCCCATGGGGTCTTCAGACACACTCAGACCATGGCCCTGTCCTGTCTGGCCTATGCAGTGTCTTAATTTTTAAACTGAAAACAAATAGGTGGCAGCATTAAAACCCAGGAAACTACTTGTACAGTGCTGGCTTGTGGCATGTCCCAAGGAGCCACAACTGCCCTTGTGGGGCCCACATTTTCCCCAGAGTACATCTCCCGCCACACTCTTCTCACCCCATTATCAACCCTTATTCCAAGGTGTCTTCCTGTAAGGAATGTCCCACAACATCCTTGTTGGCCCAAACATGATCACATGGGCAGCTGTGAGGAGTAAAGCCGTCCTCACTGGGCACAGTGCTTCCCTGAATAGAAATGAGGTTCTGTTACTAAGGAAGGAAAGGGATATAAATGCTGGTGAGTCATCGGCACAGATCGGGGGATGCTGAGGTAAGTTGGTTCATGTTGAGGGTGAAGTTTCTGTGAGGACAATTTGGGAGCACCGTTCAGCCAGCATTCCGGGGTCCCTAAGAGAAGTAATTGCAGGTCGGGACCAGCTAGATGAAAGAGGAATCTTGATAGGTCTTGGAAAGTGAGGGTGTACCCAGGAAATGGTGGGGCCACAAGATCACAGTGGTCTCCCTGTCCTTGTCTGGACACAGTGAAGGATGGTTCCGGGTGATCATCTGAGCCCTTGAGAAAATGAGTGCAGGAGGCAGTGTTGAAAGCACAGAGCAGGCAGCTCCTCCACAGGAGGAGAGAGCCCGTGCCATCAGTGTGGATGGACTGACACTGGAATGCCACTGTCCCATCCTTTGTGGGACCCTCACAGGGGTTCTGAGGAACACAGCCTTTGTATGACTGTGACTGTACTATAGAAGGCTTGGGGCTGGAGGGAGCACCCCGTGAAGTGTCTGCAGATGGGAGGGACACGTGTGAGTCCAGCTGGGTATGCACACCCGAGTTCCTCAGGAGAGACTCTGGTCAAGGGGGCACCCTGCACTGAAGGAAAGATAAGGCAGGGTTGCCCCATCAGAAGACCTCCTTACCCTCAGGAAGCAACTGAGGTAAAGGGCCAAGATTGATTAACTTCCTCTGAAGTGGTTAGAAACCACTTCACATTATGTTTTCTGTGTATGTTTTCTGCGTACACAGAGCAGAACAGAGGGCAGACATGCACTGTGTGGCTGTCTTTGTACTTGTCTTATAGCAACTTGTACTTGAAGTTATTTCCAAATGAAAGCTGTCCAGTAAGCACGCTCTTGATGGGACGCTCGTCATCATTAGGGAGCTGAAGTCAAGACCACAGTGAAATGCCTCTTTACACCATGAGAACGGCTGCTAAGAGACTGACATTGTCCAGCCTGGAGGAGCCCTGGTGCCCGGAGCTCACACACTGCTGATGGGCACAGCACGCTACTGCCTGGCCACATTGCACTCCGCCCATTAGCCAAGGCAGAAGGGACACACACATCCTACAGCAGCTTGCTACCTTACTGTAAGCCTTGGGAATGCCCACTTGCCCTCAGGCAGACGGACACACGTGTGGTCACCTGTGTCATGGAATAGCCTGGCTGAGCATCAAAGCCCACACACCCAGGAGAGGAAGCATGCATGCCTGAGAGCCATACAGTTCCATGGGGGTGACATTCTAGGCACAGGCAACCTGGCTGACTGGCATCACAAGTTGAAACAAGGGAAGCTGGGTGTGGCTTGTAAGGGTGGCTTCTCAAACCTCACTTGTTAAAAACTAACAAAATGGTTTTTTTATTTTTTAAAGCAAATGTTAAGCAAACCATCAGGCTACTTTTCCAAGGGTGGCATCTTTAGCCAGGGCCCCTGAATACCCTGCAAGAACTTTTCCCTCATCCTCTCACACACCCCTATTCTGCCTAGGATGCCGCAACAGGCCTGGGAGACCTGAGTGCTTAAAGTGGTTGGAAGGTTAGGTGCCTACAGTCTTACCTGAAGTCTCCTAGAAATGGCACTCCAAGGAAAGTAAATGGGGAAACCATAGTGGTCAGTAGTAGCTGGTATGTGGATGCTCAGCTGAGACTCTGGACAAAGGGCTGGGGATCTGGGTATGGGGTCACAGTTACGCATGAGAGAAGCACAGAGTTCTCCAAGGAGCCAGTGTGGAGAGGGAGGCTGGGTCAATGAAAAAAGTAGCAAGTCTGTTAAAATGTCATCTTTAAAGAGATAGGCGGTAGAAGGTAGGTAAAGATTCACTACAGTTTCAGAAACATGGCTTTGGGCCTTTATCAGAACCTCCATCCTGTCTGCTGCCTCAGCCCCGAAGGTAGCCTCTGCCTTTGCAGTGATGGGTCACAAACACAGAGGAGCAGGCTGCTTGCACGTAGCCCGGCTGAAGCACTTGTGCTGACCACACACGAGGATTGCTGAGGTAGACAGGATAACAAGGGCCAGTGAAGACGTGGAGCAGTGGAACACATGCACTCTAGGATGCAAGGTGGTGCAGCCCTGTGGAAGACAATCCATCTGGTGGTCTCTTGAGAAGTCAAACAGAACGACCAAGTGACCCAGTGGCTCTTTCCCTGGATAAATGTTCAGAAGACTCACAAGCAGGGATTCGAGCAAGTATTGCTGCAAGTTTTCACAGTATTGTTCACAATAGCCAAAAGGTGGAGATGACCCCATGTCCCATCAGTGGAATGAAGTTCGGACGCCTGCCATACATAGCCTTTGTGCTAAGTGAAGTGCAAAGGACAGATAGCAGGTATCATGGGATTGCCCTCCTCTGAAGTGTCCAGAGCAGGTACATTACAGAGGTGTAGTTGTTGCCATTGCCCGGGGCTGGGGACAGGCATTTTGGGGCGTGAGTGCTGATGGGTGCAGGCCCCCTTGCTGTTTTGGAGGTAGAGGTAAGTGTTGCATGCTATTGCACATGTTCTGGGTGCCATTGAATTGTTCACTTTTAAGTGAAATTTATAATATGAATTTTTACCTCAATAAAAAAAATTTTTAAACAGTGCCTTATGTCTCCTAGGATAGATGACTATTGCACATAGGTGACATCTATGAGCAAGGTGGTCATCTTTGAGATTGAAGTTTCTGGTACTGTAATTACTGGCTACCTGTGGAAGCCAGGTGTGCCCATGTGATGTAACGAGCATGACTGAGGAATTAAATGGTTTTCTTTCAGTTCATATTTTACAACCTACTAGCAGGTGTGGTGGCATACACCTGTAATCCTAGCACTTAGGAGATGGAGGCGAAAAGATCTCAAATTCAAAGTCAACCTGGGTTACGTAGCAAGACCCTGTCTCAAAAAACCAAGGATTAAGCAAGCTGTTGTGGTGCACTCCTATAATCCCAGTATTTAAGGAGCTGAGGCAGGAGGATTGTGAGTTTGTGGCCAGCCTGGGTTACATGGTGAAACCCTGTCCCAAAAAACAAAAACAAACAAACAGAAAAACAATCCAAAGGGCTGGAGATGTAGCTCAGTGGTAGAATGCTTGACTAGCATGTGCAGAAGCTGTAGGTTCAATCCCTAGCAACACACACACACACAAATGATAAATAAAAGACTTACTTGGTTTAGTTATTGGAAAACTACCTAACCTATGAATCTACTCCTAATTACACACTTTATGAAATCTAAATACAGATCAAATATTTGTGATGATTACAAAGAAGAACAGGGCTCACCTCGGTTTTTATTGGAGTTGCTAAGAGCCCATAAGGACAACAGGACACAGGATGAGCACCGCCCGCATTGCTGGCAGATGGGGATCCTTCCTCTCCCTCCTGCTGGGCAGACGCTGTTCTGAGCTCCACGTCCCCAGTGTGCATGCAGCTCAGTGTCCAAGAGCATCGCGGCTGAGGGTGGCTCTGCCCTGCACAACCTCATTTTGAGGGTTCGTCCTTGTCTTAAGTAGAAGCAAGAGTGTATATGTTACAGTGCTTGTGAGTTCTAACTATATGTGTTACATAGAGCTCAATAATAATTACTGAGGAAGGTAAGTTAAAACCTTAAAAGAGCTCTTCTTTCCTGTGATTTCCCATTCTGTAAAGGACCTTGAGTTTCTCCTGGAATGGGAAAGTACTGCACTTCCCACTTGGGAGGTTTTCCATCTCATGAGCTTGGTAAAGACAGGGCAGAGTTCTCAGCTTCAGGGGCTACTGAGGGAGTATCTGGAGTGGAAGGTCTGTCCTAAGTTGAAGTTGTGGCTCGCAGAGCAGAGCTTGTTTACTGGGGGAGCTAGCCTCCGTGCTTACTGCCCATGGTTGCCACCTCCCATACCTGATACAGATCTCTGCCCTGCTTGTCACAGGTGAACCTGAGCAAGGTGGGCGAGTACTGGTGGAGCGCCATCCTGGAGGGAGAAGAGCCCATTGACATTGACAAAATCAACAAGGAGCGCTCCATGGCCACCGTGGACGAGGAGGAGCAGGCGGTGCTGGACAGGCTCACTTTCGACTACCACCAGAAGCTGCAGGGCAAGCCACAGAGCCACGAGCTGGTACGAGCCCTGCTGCAACATGTGCCTTGTCCCAGACAGCCCAGAAGGGGCCCTGTCATACCTGCTCACATACCTGTTTCCCACCTGAAAACAGGCACATTCTCACACACACCCGAGCCTAAAGCCAGGGTAGCAGTACCTTGAAGGGTGTTTTAAGATGGGCCTTGCCTACACTGGCACCTGGTCATGTCGGGTGCTGACAGTTCTTGACCCTGTGCTTCATCCACACTTTCTGGGTGTGACTTCTCTGGAGCCCCTCAGGTGCTTGGTAGAGAAGGGGAGGCCAGGTTGCAGGGCCAGCTCAGGTTCTGATTGTGGAGGGCTGATGCACAGCAGGTAGTTTGCAAGCATGTTTGTGAGTGAATGTTGGGGGCCATGCTGAGAGACAGCAGGAGGCTGGGTCAGGTCTAACCTGTGTAGCGCCTGGGACAGTCCACCCTTGACAGAGAAAATGATAGACTAGACAAATACATTCATTCTTCCTATTTTCCTAATCCTGAAGAGTAGCTGTTTAGGGAAGAAAAGCCTGCTGCCTCAGATTCTTCTTACCTTCCTGCACCCATCTGCACAGCACCCTGGTTTGATGGGTAATAGGGAAGGGTTAGCTGCTGTGCACAGACCCCAGAAAGCTACTCAGGTTCACATGTCCTTGTCTGTGGAAGAAGCATTCCTTTGCAGTTTGTCCTGTCTTTGCCTTCCAGAGCAGCCTGTGTACATGGGGCTCTGTGTGCTGTGCTGCCACACCAGCCACTGTGGCCTGTCTTCATAGCTGTGCCTCCCAGCCTGGAACTCAGTTTGCTGTGAAGGCAGTGTGGGTGTGCTCCCTTCCGCTGACTCCACCACACCAGGGCACAGAGTGAGCCTGCTACACAAGGGTGGGGTAGATGTAGTGTGGCGGGCCTGTACCACACCCCTGAGAAGATGGTCCATTTTTCATTATAGAGGCTTGAAGATCTCACAGTGTTCAGTATCTTTCAGCAACCAAGCTGCAAGGGCAGGCTTGACCCCAGAGCTGATTCCAGGCCTTTCTGTCCTCCTGGCTCTCTGCCTTCCCTCTGGGAAAGAATGCTCCTCTCAGCTTGGCCCCCTTTTCCATCCATCCAGGGCATGGTGAGGTTGAAGGGCAGCTCCACAGAGTCCATGTGGTTCAGAGGTCATAGGGTCCCTTAGGCAGCGGAGGGAACTCACTGCTCACCCTGGAGTAGACAGGCTGCCCTCTAGCTGTGTGGCCACCACACAGAAGGCCTGTTGGCAAACCTTTGCCTTATGGGTGGGACCGGAGGGGCCCCCCCACCTCTGTGTCTGGGGTCAACATTGTGTCCACAGAAGAGCTAAGATGTATTCATGATGTGACCTCTGTGGGAGGGGGAAATATTTTTACTGGAGACCTGAATGCAGATGCCATTGTACTGGGCCAGCTAGAAGGAGGTCCTACCAGGTGTCCTTTAGAAGTGCCTGTTGGTGCCACAAAATGGACTGACCAAGGGCTAGTGGCTCCTCACATCTTCATCAGATGCCGCCAGTGAGCCTTTGTTACAGAGAAACACTGAGACTTCTTCTAGACTTTAGCCGTAAGGTGTGAGAGAAGCTAGATCATTGAGAGCTATGTCCTCTTTGGCGCTGATGTTCCCTGTGACTGCAATGCTTGCAGAACATGCAAGTCAAGAGCAGAACAAAAGGATCACAGTACCGCTTGTCGAGAGGCTGCCAGGACCGCAGGGTCTGCACCAGGGTGCTGGGGCTCCTTCCTGTTTTCTTTTTTCTCTTCAGACTCTCTGTCATGCTCTTCACTCTTCTTTGTATTCTGTGCTGATACCCTCTAGCTTTGCCTAGCATCACCCTCGTCGGGCTGACAGGCGATGGATACAGTGCTGGTAAATCTGCATCAGGAGGGCAGACACATCTGCCTTCAAGGTGCTGAGAGTCCAGCCACTTAAACCTTACCTTCTCCAAAGAGTAGCCAGCCTTGCACTGCATTTTCATCCATGGTCCTTTGCAGGAGGTGCCTGCTCTGTCTTTCCATTCCTGGAGGCCTAGGGGCTACTTGTTCTGGCATCTGCCCTCCACCCCACTACCCTGGCTTGGGAACAGGGTGGCCTGCTCATCCCAATAAATGGAGCTCTCTTCCATGAAGTTCTGGCTTTGAGCTCAAACCAGCACCATCACTGCCAGCCTGGGACAGCCTACCTTCAAGGGTCGGGAGATGGTGGTGCCACACACTGAATGTGTGCCCTGTGCACATCCACACTTACATACATGCAGCCACCTGTGTCTACTGCTGAGTGCTGACTTGCTGTGAAGGAATGCTCTGGGGACATCCTTTTAGCACTTTCTGGGAAAGCTGCCCTCCTGGCCCCCACAGCACTGCAGAGACCAAGTGTGGAACAGAAGGCCTGTGACCCAGCACTGGGAACTCGAGGACTGAGCAGCAGCCCAATTAGGGAGGACCCAGAGAAGAGCCCTGAGGGGGCCATGGCCTAGGGGAAACCTCTGGGTCTCAATGGGTCATGCCTTAGGCTAGGCAGCATGCTGGTCCTTAGGGAACATGTGTCCCTGAATGAGATGCTTGGGAAACCTTCAGCAACACAGAGACCAGACTCATCCCCCATTGGAGCTCACCGATCCCTGGATGGCCATGGAAACACCAGCCTCCAGGCTAGCTGTGTAGATAGTCATGAACACGCCTGTGAGGACTGAGTGAATGTCACAGTGCCTGCCTGGCCCCGGTGCTAAAGTTTCAGCAACTCTCTGGGCTTGGCGTGCCTTGGGGTAAGGCTCCTCAGTACATTGGGCCTGATCACTCCAGGGGATCCATGTCAAATATCCTTATATTGAGAGAAAAACCAGACCTTTGGGCTGGAGGTATGGCTGAAGTGGTAGAACACCTCCCTCGCAAATGTGAAGCCCTGAGTTCAAACCCCTGTCCCACCAAAAAAGAAAAAAAAAAAAGACCTAGAAAGGTAGGTATCCCTCATGTGAACACATTTTACTTGTCATCCGGGACAGCTCACAGGCAGAGGGGTCCTCCTGAGGGTTACTTGGGTGGTGGAGGTCACTTTGCAGGATCACCAGGCCTCACTGATGGAGAGAGAATGGAAACTGGGCCAGGTTCCTCTGTCAGCCTCCATCTGCTGTGTGCATCGGCACAGTCACAGTTACCAGCGTGCTCTGGCATCGATGCCCATTTATGGTGTGAACTGAGTTATCTAAATTTGCCAGAATTTCAAATTGTGCTTCTAATGCCACAGATGCTGTGTCTTTTGAAGCATTTTAATTTTGAAGCAATAATACGTCTCTTGTTTTAAAGTCTTTGATGTCACTATAGGGCCGCCTCTTTCCAAAGTCAATGAATTTAAATATCCTTCATCTCTTTCTTAATGTAATGCCTGTGGGCAGGCTTCCCCCATCTGGAAGGGGACAAGGAGTGCACAGGTACTGCTACTTGGTCTGCGTTCAGATGTTGGACTCCCTAGCACTAACTGTGACATTGCACAGGCAGGTACCAGCATTGATGTGGTCACTGGTCCTATTTGTGAATTTAGTGATACACAGGAATACCTGCTTTCTATTTTTTCCCCAGGAAAGGTCTGTGCAACTCCCTGGATTAGAAACTCAAGTCTAATAACTTGCCTGTTGCATTTTGGGCTTCCTACAATGGACCCCTATCCACCCCTGGGATCTCACAACTATCACTTGGCCTACGGCTGGCTCAGGCTCTGTCGAGGGGTTCAAAGGCCTCTTAGGCTGTCTTGATCTGTTCTTGTGTTTGGTTGAGGCTCTCCAGCCTTACCTCCCATGGGCAGAGTGGAGGCCAGGCCCTCAGAACTGTGCCGACGGGGCTTCCTGCAGCCCCTCTTGTCCCCCACCCACCCAACTCACTGTGTATCACTTGCTCACTTCTCACTGTAGCTTAAAGTGATCTCTCCATGGTCTCTGATTTGAGCTACTGTAAAAAGTTGAGAATGACATCCAGCAGTCCCTAGTGTGTGACAAGTGTCTTGGATCTGTTTGTCGCTGCTTCACCTCAGTTTAAAAACAAGAAAAAGGAAGCCCCTGTGTCAGGAAGGTTACGTTTTACATAAAGAGATGCCGTGGTGCTGTAAATCCAGCAGCTTCATTAGACACTAGGAATTTTCCATGCTGCTCAAGTCTGTCAGCCTTGTGATGAGGGAGGATGTGTCTCTTCCAGTCTGGTTTGCAGCAGGGATCATAGACTCCATCAGTGAGGTAACCTCTGGCTGTGCACCCAGGTAGTCTCATTTCCCATGGTTGTAAGAAAGAAGATCATCCCATCCTTTGGTAGACTTGGAGCTGCCAGCTGAGGAGGAAGGCCCACCTGCCAGCTTAGGTACAGGTGCCTGCCTTAGGCACAGCCTTCTTGATGTCCCATGGTCATGGCCACATGGCTCAGGTCTGCTCCTAACCTTTGGAGGCTAGAAAGTTCCAGAGTGACTACAAGCTATGGGGAGCTTAGTCTGACTGATGGGTCCATTGCTGGACACTTGGAGGTGTCTCCCTCTGCATCACATCTTGGGTCAACCCTAGATTGTCTTATGATGTCCTTGATGACAAAGGAATAACTCTGCACACTGTAGTCATGTCCTTGGGGACTGTAGGCTTTGTGGAACAGGGACAGAAGATGAACCACAAAGAGCAGCCAGTGCTTACTGGAGACGGAAGATGGAAGGCTTGAAGTTCAGTCTGTGGGGAGCAGTCTTGCAGAGGAGCTGGCAGTCACCCAGTGGCCCCCTGGGCAGGCGTATGATCCTCCGGCCACCTGGTCCTGCCAGGCGAGTCCTCAAACCCCCAGGAAGCAGGATGGCTCTGTGCCTGCAGTCAGTCTGCATGGGAGAAAACCTGTAATGCCTTGTGACTCCCTTTAATTTCTCTATTTTCTGTTTGTAGAAAGTCCATGAGATGCTGAAGAAGGGGTGGGATGCTGAAGGCTCTCCCTTCCGAGGCCAGCGATTCGACCCAGCCATGTTCAACATCTCCCCGGGGGCTGTGCAGTTTTAGTGACCTGAAGGAAAGGAAGCCCTTGCCAGCAGTGAGCTGGTGGCCTTGTCCTTCCTGCATGTCAGGGACTCGCTCATCTCCTTCACCCCTAGCCATCCTCTCTTCCAAGGGTGAACCAAGCCTTCCACACTGATCTTGCACCTCCAGACTGTTCCAGAGAAGGTGCAGGGCCGGCTGCTGCCTGGCAGCCACTGACCAACACCAAATGAAGGCGTCTGAAATGTGGAGGGCTGTATCCCAGCGAGCCAGGCACACATGCCTCGTCACCACAGCAACCAGCCATCGCAGGCAGCATTGCGTTCCTCCCATACTCTCTGCTTGCTGTTGTTTTGACGCGCTGCTCTGCCTGCTCGTCTTCTGGTTGGGGGTGGGGAGTCACTGGGCTCTCAGGCAAAGCTGAAGTTAAGTGTGGGGGGCCTGGTGTCTGCATGAAGGCATGTGAGGTAGGGCCGGGGCTGCTTTTGACCTCTTTCTTGGTGTGCACGTGCAGTCTTGTCATCCCTTTGTCATTGCGCTCAGCTTGCCTCAGCCTCATAGGCAGAGCAGCAGAAACTGGTGTCCTGCTTGCATGCTCTATGCTTTGGGAGAAGTGTTAGGGGTTGGCCTCAGGCCCACTCGCAGCAGGGATTCTGTCTGCTCTCTGGCCACAGCTGTTCTTGGTGAAGTGAACTGAGCCTGGCCACCACTGCATGGCACTCGGCTTGCTCCCCACAAGACTTCCTCTTTGTGTGTACCACGTCAAAACACAGGCAGAAATGAAGAACCAGGCTCCCTCAACAGACCACAACATGTCTAGCAATCCAGTGGCAGATCATCTTAGTCAGGGGCCCTAAGCAGCCTTGATCTTGGGGAGTGGCCCTCAGGAGGAAGAACTGCACAGGCTTGAAGGTATACTTCTGCAACTGAGCTCTGGAGAGAGAAGGCTCCCCTGTGCCAGGCTCTAGATGCTCCCCAGAGCTCACAGCCTGTCCCAGCTGGCCCCTGGGGATGGGGCAGGCACCACCTCGCTCAACGCCCCCTCCCCTGCCCACCCCCACATGCTCTGAGCTAGATCTGCTGACCGACTCCAGCCAAGTGTGAAGACTGATGGAAGGGCAAGGACCCAGGTGTCCAGCTACCCAGACGAGTCCTCTGTGTGTCTTTTGCCAGGAGCCTGGTGTTGCCACCGTCCAGCACTGTCCATTGGCTTGGCTGTCAGCCTTGGTGCATAGATAAATCACTGTACTGCACCACAACGTGCGCACAGTGAGAACCAGGGCCCAAAGATGGCGAGGCAGCCCAGCCCTGCAAGTTCTCTGCAAGTGCTTGGGAGGGGCTGCCCAGGAGAGCAAGCGGTGGTGGTGGTCTTCCTATCAGAAGCTTCCCATCATCTGAGTAGACAGTCACTTGGGGAGAGTGGATTTCTGGTTTACAGTGTTGGCTGACAGCCATCATGAGAAGTACATACTGGGGCGCTCTGTCTGATTGTCAAGGGAGAGCAGAAGGCCCCAGATGCCTCCTGTTGTGTGGTATTGGTCACCAATCTGGTGAGGCCTCTGAAAAGGTCTTGACTTCAGGGAGCAGCACCATGTCACCACAAGAGGTCCTGAGGAAGCCTTTGTTGTTTTTCCTGATGTTCTGGTCAAGATCCTAGGATTTGCACATCAGTGACCTATGCGAGCTGCCCCACCTAATGAAAGGAGATCTTGTGGTGCCTGTGTGTCTCTGTAGCCTGTCCCCTAGTTGCCCCCCAGACCCCACCTTATGGGTGGTCTTCCAAGAAGGAGTGATGAAGTGCGAGAACCCTGCGCCTTTTTATTTGGGAGACATTGAATCATTTACCTCTGTGCTGACTTCCTTTTGCCTGGCTTTATTTTCTGTGTTGGATTTCTCCTCCCCACTGCCAGTGTCTAGGAAGAGTAGTGGAGGGGTGAGGGGGGATGCATTGGGTTTTGTCTATGTGTCTGTCAGGAGCACACCCGGTTCCTGCTCCATATTGCAGTGCATGGTGTGGTTGTGGATCCTGTACCACGTGCCCCAGTCCTGGCATGGCTTGGTCCCAGTGAGCCTGGTTAATGATTGTCTGCCCTGAGGCACTGCCCTGGACCATCCCAGCCACTGGAGCTGGCACACTGCCTGTTTTCTCTTTTTAGATACGACAGCCGCAGTTTGGGCACTAAGTCCTGCCAGCTGAGGTCTGAGGAAAGCAGGGTGTCTTGTCCCCTTGTCCAGGGGCCCAGGAGAGTGGGTGTCCAACCTGCAAAGCTGCTCCGGCTCCTCGGTACTGGTTTGCAATAAATCTGTACTTAAGCAGTTCTGGGTCTGTGTGTGACATTTGCTGCTGAGACAGTTCTGTCTGAGTGCTCAGTACCCACAGTTTCTAGCCAGGTCTCAGGCCTCTGTACTCAGATGACACCAAAATGGGAATTGTTGAGCCCTGGCAAGACTTTTAATACAGTTTTCAGAAATACTGTAGGTTTTGATCATTTAAAAAAGAGGAAGAATGTGGCTACAGAGTTTGCATCATTTCAGATGGGTTATGAAAATCTGTTACCTAAAAGCTCAGGATGAGCACAGAATTCTAAACCATCCCACTGGAGTGCCGCCTCCTCTCATACTTAACAGGTGCACACCCACCCATTGCTACCCTGAGTCCTTCAAACACAAGACACAACCCCATGTCTGATTCAGAGCCCAGCTAGACCTCAGGCTTCCTTGCCTGTGCCCTGCTGACTCCAGAGAAGGCCATCTCTGATCTCTCTCCGGCAGGACCTGCAGGGCTGAGAAATCGTTCTCACAGTTATGAAGAGCTCTTCAAGGCTGACTGGGATTACCTGGCAAATACGCAGGGCCACAGAGAACCCCCCAGAAAGGAGAGATATCTTCAGTGACATGCCCCACAGAACACAAAAGAAGTCAAGCATGTGTAGAAGTGAGTCCAGGAGGTGTCACCTGCTGTGACTCATGGCCAGAACGCTGTGCTGGGTCTAAGACTCCCACCCCACCCCAGATCTGCTCCCCTGGAGGGTAGGCTGGCAGTCACTCAGCCAGGAAGGGGATGGCTTGTGCTTATGGGTAACCAGCATGAGATTGGCAGCAGACAGTATGCCAGCCCTTCGTGATAAGCCTCCTTCTCTTAGGTCAGAGGCCTGGGGCAGAGCTGGCTGTCCCGCAGAATGTGGACCTCCCTGTGGCCAGCTGAGGTTGATGTCACCATCTGCCTAAAGGTCTGAGGAGTATGCATCTGAGCTAGTCGACAGCCCAGGAGCATTTACTGGGTGCCACGTGGCCACACAGTCTGAAAACCCGGGGGCACCTCCTGCCAGTCTCGTATATGACGGACAGTACAGTTGCCACCTGAAGTGTGAGGAGATTCATGCTTTTCAGAAGCTCAGTAGCCAGCTCACACTCATGTGGTTTATTTGCCTCATCTTGTTGGGTTTGCTTCTTAAGATGGAAAATTGAACAAATCTTATAAGAGTTCCCAGTGGGTTAGGTGCCCAGGATGGGGTTCGGCTTGGCTGCCATCCCTCCTCAGCTGGTTGCCCAGGTACACCACTGCACACACACAGGACCTGTGCCAGGGAAGCCAAGCCTGCTAGTTGTAGCTGCACATCTCCCTGTTTCCCCTCGGGTGGCAGGGAGATGTGAGCCCATTGAAGGGCTAGCTAGTGCTGGGCTCTGTTGAGACATCAGGACCACCACACTTTGGGGAATCCTGGGTTTCCTGTGTTTTGCTGGCATGGCTGAGGGTGTCTGTAGAACGGGGATGTTAAGTCACAGCCCGAGCTGTGTACAGTGATCCCAGCTGGCCCTGGCCTGGCAGGACCATGATGGGGTCATCTGCTGGGGGTGGTTGGATAAGCTGGCCTGCTAGCATGTGCCAGAGGAGCTGCAGGTACACATGGAGAGTAGGTGTGGCCTTGGATTGTGACCACCCTCAGGTGGGTTTGTAAGGCCACTTTCAAGTGTGTGGCCTCCAGCAGAGCAGGTCCAAGACTGCATCTAGTCTTAGAAGCATTAGGAGCACTAGCAGGACAGACCCTGGCCAACCTCCTGTCACCTCTCCCGGCCCTGGGGATTTTGCCTAGAGATGGACAAAACCCCCGGGACTTATTGGTCCAGCCCTAGTTACAGAAACAAGTGCCTTTCCCAAGGTGTGTGACTGGTGGCTCTGTGGGGGCCTGCTCTCCTGTACATTCATAGACCAAGAGCAGCTCCCCAGATGCAGCCCCAGCTACAACACATGCTTTGTGGCACCGTGAGAAGGTGAGTGGCAGGGCTGGGGTCATCCAAGAGCCACTGCAGGCCAGTCCCAGTGGGCAGCTCATCACAAGATTGCCTCAGCCCAGCACAGGTCTGACAATGCAGATGCTTTCTGGCTCCATGTTGAACAAGGATGGGAGGGAGGGCCCTACCCATCACTCATCCTTTGTAACTCAACAGCCCAGCAACCCCCAGGTCAAGACACTCAGGTGCTGAGCAGTTGGAGCCTGCTGGGTGCTGCTCCTCAACCCCATTCTGTAGTCCCATGGGGACTTTGTGTATTGCCAGGGTGACAGGGCCAGGAGAGATTTGACCCCCACCACAAGCATCCAGGGCCTGGTGATCAGCATGCCCGGGGCACAGGGGCTGCGGTGGGGGCTATGTCTGCCTCCCTTTGGCCTCTGCTCCCCATGCCAGAACACTTCCAGCAAAGGAGTGAATTTCACACCTGTGCTGACATTTACCAGCTCAGCACTGTCCCTGCCTCCCCGCTAACCCTCCCCCTCCCTCGCTGGGCACTACTCCTGGAGACCCCACATACATGCCCCATCCCCCCCTCAAGGTCTGGCCAGGCCCAGGCTGCCACCAGGTATCTCCCTGACTGACTCTGTCCTGTCCTGGGGTGGGGACTCAGGCACCCCTGCACTCTGGCATTTTTAGAGGTGGTCTGGCCCCGCATGGCAAGAACCACTCTTGAGCTTTTGGTATCCCCAGAAACTTTTTTTCTTCTGGTGGTACTGGGCTTTGAACTCAGGGCCTTGCCCTTTTGAGGCAGATACTACTGCTTGAGCCACGTCTCCAGCCCCTCAGAAACTTCAGGCAACACCAAGCCAAGTGCAGAAGTTGTGTTGTAATCTAGAAAAAAGGCAGCGTTTTCCTCTTCCTGTCATGCTAAGAAAGTCATCTGTACTCATAGTAGGGACATCTTTGTCACCTTGACCCATGTGCATCCCCCCTCCGTACCCCCTTGCTCAACCCCACGAGGGTTCTCCTGGGGCTCCATCCTCCAGGCTTCTCTGCCCTTCTCCCTGGGTTTCATTATTCAGGCCCCCATGCCCAGACCACTGGCACTGGGACTCCTGCAGGCACCTCACTTTGACTGCCCTGCCCATGTGGGCAGAGATAGCCACAGCTGGTGTTCCTGAAAGGACCAGCAGGATGCTCTTTGGAAAATACACCTCGGAGCTTTAAGAAGATGATTAATCTGGACCACTTGGGAGCTACGGCCCTTAAAAGCAGGTCAGATTCAGATGTGTTATCCACAGATTCCTCCAAGGCACAGATTCTGGGAGTCAGTTGGGGAAGGGTAGATTTCTGAGCAGCATCTGTGAAGACCACAGCACAGTGTGATCGGTTGGTTCTTCTAAGTAGAAGATTTCAGTTTTAAAATGATCCCCAGTTAAAGAGTCCTTTAACTGCTCTGGTGCCACCCTGGAGCTTACAGATACCTGTGTCTCTTAAGCAGGACTTTTAGGCTTGCTGATGCTTTCCCAGCCCCTCTGCATCCCTGGAGACTCTCCTCCTGCCACCACATGGGGTGTCCAGGACCTAGGAAGAGATGCCTCTTCCTAGCACCTATAGCAGATCTTTGGGGAGCGCATGTCAACCTTCAGAAATACAAGGCAGGGTCCCTGGTCCTATGCAGCCGTAACCTGAAGACCCACTATGGGATTTTTGAGGCTGTGTGCAAAGTAGACAAATACGTGAGTCCTTTGGTCAAAGGTCATCAAGAATTTAAAGGTGGTCAACAGAGCATTAGCCAAGTGTGGGTGGGGCGTGGGGATTGCCCCCACACACCCCCTCCTGCTGGTAACAACTCCCTTAGCTCAAGCTGGATAGACAGCAGCTTTGAGCTGGTTGTGCATCCCCACCTGACAACATCAAAGCCCCAAGATGACAGCCATCCAGAATTTTCTGTGACATCATTTTTGCTGCTCACGTATTTCTAAATTGTATCAGTAGAAGTCTTTGCTGCTTGCCTTCCTTTTGTGTGCTGTCTCCAGATCCATGTCCCTAGTGTCGTTCACCCCCCACTGCATTGATGTGTTGAGTGAATACCATTCTGTGTCACTACCTCCTGCTGGTGACTACCTGTGTTGGTTCCAGATTCTCTGTCACTCATGAGAAGTTTGCTGGGACACACACGTGCTGTAGGTGGAGTTGCGGTGGCCACTCACTGCCCATGTCCGCACTGTCTTAATGGGTTTGTGATGTTTGTAACAGTGCCAGGTGTTGAGTTGGCTGCTAGTGAATTTCCTACCTTGTGGTAAGGTCAAACATCCTTCTGTGAACTTTCTGATTGTATTTTTGAACACCCTGAAGTATTTCTAGTAAGTTGTTCTTTTACTCTTATGACTCTCAGGAGTATTCTGAGTTGTTTTTATTTTAGAACTTCCCAGTCTGTAACCCTGTCTTTTATCTGTAATCTTCCCTTGTACCTGTGATCCCCACACCTGGCCACTGCTGGGTTATTAGTTGGGTCCAACCACAGCTTCTGTCACTTGAGACGATTTGATAGGCAAATTGCCATCACAGATGGAGCAGAAACTCAGAGTGTGCCTGGGATGTCAAGAAGGCTCCTCTGAACAGCACCCTGAAGTAGGCTCTCCCCTCCCCCCACGCAATAGCTAAAGCACGTGGAAGGTACCAAGACCCTGTGGGTGGCATCACTCCTGTGCCCTGTATCTGACCTTGGCTAGCGCAGGCCAGGTGAGGTGTAGGGACTACAAGCACTGTGGGGGGCCCTGTGGGTTACCCCAGGACACAGTGGAGAGTCCCCGAACTTCCTCGGACAGGGATGCTGTGAGGAGCTTTCAGTGTCCCACAAGCTGTTGTGAGCTCTGAATTTAAACTAGAGATGGAATGAGAGGGAAATCAAGGAGAGGAGCCCCGGGAGCTGGGGACTTGGGCTTAGGAGCCACCTCTCTCTACACTTTTCTGCCAACAGGAGGCACAGGCTTCTTGGAGACAGAGCTAAGACCCTTTTTCCTGCCCAGTGGGGAGGCCCCTCATGGGACCTCCCCAATCCCACTCAACTTGATCTTCCTGTTATAAATTCCCTCCTGGCCCCATCATTGGGGTTCCAAGTTGGCCCCCCAAAGCCCTGGGCTCCCACCTCAGACTCATGGAGATGGCACAACTTCCAGCCTCTGCTCAGCTTCCAGGGTTTCAGAGGAAGAAACACACACACACATCCCAGGTGAGAAGTGGACAGTCAGACAGCCATGCCCGTGGGTTCAGTGCAAACCCCCTAACTACCCAAGGAGTGAGCCAGGGAGTGGCTGGGCTCGGGTGCCCTGAAGGGGTCCCTCAGAGAGGTGGGACCATGTTGGCCCAGATTTTAAAGCACTGGTTCTGGGTTTGGAGTTTTTCCAGCACCAAGCCTGATGCCCTCACTGCGGTGCCTACCCCCTTCCCTGCCCCAGCCCCTAATGTCCCCTCCTTCCTTCTGCTCTGTTCCACAGGATGCTTGTCCCATCAGGACATGGGCAGGTGGAGGCCTAGCCCAGTTGTACACAGGGTGGCGTAGGGTGAGGTTTGGGGGCTAGTACCACAAGGGCACCTGTTGGCCACCAGATAAAGGGGCTGTGACCAGGAACTGAGTGACCCCTCCAGTCTGTCTTCTGAGTTGTCCAGGACACAACATTTGTCCCTGTTTCATCTGCCCCCCACTGTCACCTCCACGCCCAGCAAGGTAGCTCAGAGCCAGAGGCCCCCCCACTGGAGGAGGGAAACAGGCCTGGTTCTTCTGTACCTGTTTCCTCAGCTGCAAAATGACCAACATTGGGCAGGAAGGGCCTGACTGTGGACTAAAAGCATCGTTAGTCTCTGGGGTCCTACCCCACAGGGGTCAGTAGTTATGGGCCTGTGGCCCCCAGTGAAGGGTCTCCTACCACCAGGAGCCCATACAGGATGAGCCACACTGAACCCAGGTTGTCCAGCCTCACCTCCCCCCACAAACATACCGCCACCACCCCTGTGCATGCTCTCCCTGGACCTCCATTCCAGCCACAGAGCTTCACTAACTCCTTCAGGACCACACTGGTCCTGACAGAACCTGGCCTGGTCCCATGGCTTCCATCCCCTTCTCACATGTGGCTTGCTCCTGGCACCTTGGAGGGTTCAGGAGGCCCTCAAGTGCTTAAGATTGTTTTATTGTGCTGGCGGCTCATGCCTGTAATCCCAGCTACTCAGGAGGCAGAGATCAGAAAGATCATAGTTTAAGGCCAGCCCAGGCAAATAGTTTGTGAGACCCTGTCTTGAAAAAAAACATCACAAAAAAGGGCTAGTGGAGTGTCTCAAGGTGTAGGCTGTGAGTTCAAAAACTGCAAAAAAAAAAAAAGATTATTTTATTACAATTAAATAACATTAAATCCATTTTAACCATGTTTAAGTGCATGGTTCAGTGCATTAAGTACATTCAGATGATCATGCAACTATCACACCATCCATTTCCTGAATTTATAAAAACATTAAAAATTTTTATCTGCATTGAAAAAACGAGACTTCATAAGAGCCCCATTTCTGGGCTCTTTTGAAAAGTTAAGGGCCCAGGCAGTGCTGGGTGGGATCTGGCCTTAGGGGCAACTGGCTATAGCAGATGGCAGGGCTGAGGGCCCCAGCACAGCTCCCTATGGCCCACCACAGCTCCCTGCAGGGGGCATTTGAAACGGGGCAGCGTCCTTGGGTACCTGCAGTCAGCGTGGCCAGCCCAGCTGCAGCATTGAACTGGAGGCCAAGAATGAAGAAGGCTCCTGACCTTGAAGGATGGAAGTAGCCAGGGAGAGTCTTCTGCAAGATGGGCCTGGAATGGCCGGCTGAGGGAAAACAGGTCTGTGGAAGGTGTGGAGCCCCTGTGTTATGAGGCAGCGGGCCTGGGATTTAAGACTCAGCAGAGGGAGAGGCTGGATGAGAGGCTGAGCAGACCTGAGGGGCCTTCTCTCCTTCCAGAAAGACTGAGACCGCCCAGGATGAAGGGGCCCCCTAGGTCTTTGTAGCCCACCAGGGTCAGCACTCGAGTGTGGCCAAAGGTAACTCCAGATGGTTTCTGTGACTTATTTTCTTGTTTTGGAACACGAGACATGTCCCGGCCTCCCGAGGGAAACAGCTTGGGAGGCCAGAGCCATGCCATGGTCCCACCGATTCTGTGTGCATTCGTGTGCATGCGTGTGCATGTGCGTGAGTTCACCACGTGCAGCTTGCACAACGCCTGCCACAATCAAAATACAGAAATGTTCAGTAGTCACAAGGTTCTCAGGTGGTGGAA